TCTTGTGGTGAAAATGCTTCTTCCATGAAGCCTCCCTCCTCCCATCAAATGGAAACACTCTTCTGTCTTTGTGCTCCCAGGTCGTTCAGTTCCTCTCTTCTACCAGTTATCACATTTCACTGTTCATTCCTGTCTCTTACAATCTCCTCCACACTGAGCTGCAAATGCCTTAAGGGCAGGTACGATGTGTGCTGACCACAGGAGTATTCTCACTCCACCTCACATAGCTCCTTGCACACAGAGGAGATTCAAAGAAAGTTGAACTGAATTTAGCTAAATGCTTAAATAACAGGGGCTGAGTTTTTGCGTGAATGCAGAGAAGCCTAACATTTTGACATTATTGAGGTGGGATCTTGAAATCATGATCAGACAGTCCCTCCCCTCAGTTTCCCACTAGAGAGGCTCAAAGGTCTAGCAAATGTTTGAAAATTCCCAACTGAGACATGAGATAATTAGGATTGGTTCTTGCAAACTCCACTCCTAGCATGAGGGAGTGAGAGCAGAAAAATGCACCACTGGATTCAAAGCTCTGTGGAAGGACTCTTCTGAAGTATGAGGGGTGCTACCACCGGGAAGGACCACGTGAGTGTGGAGGTGCGGTGAAGGGTGGGGACGACGCACAGGCTGAAGTGTGAGGCTGCCTGCCTTACTTGGGTGGTGGCATCCACTGTGACACCGCGTTCGATCAGCAGTTCTGCCACTGGAACGTGGCCTTCTTGTGCGACCAGATGGAGGGGAGTGAGTCCTCTCTGGAAAGAAAAAGATGTTCATCACCTTCTATCCAGTGCTGAATTCCAGGCCACAATGCAAGTACTGAGGGAGCCGAACCTGGCTCTGCAGCCACCAATGAGCCATTTGAACTTGGGCAAAGCTCTCCTGCTCTGGGCCTCAATATTCTTATCTAAAAAAAGAGATGGTTAAACTAGATCAGAGGTCAGCAACTTTCTCTATAAAGGGCCAGACAGTCAATATTTTAGGCTTGTGTCTCTGTTGCAACTACCCAACTCTCTCATTGTAATGAGAAAGCAGTTATGGCCAACATATTATGGGTGTGACTGTGTTCCAATAAAACTTTATTTACACAAACAGATGGAGGGCCATCCACCTAG